GTACACGTCGCGTACATATAAAAGGAACAAGGTGAATTGGCGCAATAAAAATAAAATTGGCGAATATTAGCTTTTTCCCGCAGGATTTGATAAGTCCCACGGAAAAATAAGAAACACGCACGCAATCTTGAATCAAAATAGTTAAAATATTTGATCATCACCTTTTATTATTATTCAGCACGCATACGTAAACTAGCTCAAACCCTTCAAATCCTTCAACGATCCCCAAAAAGCGCGTGTTCGCTCGTACAATTTTTCACAAATCATAACATTAAAGCGAATCATGTTCGGTGAAGGGAAAGAAAAAAATGGGTTTAGTTCTCTGTCAATAATATACGGCAACGTACAAGACCATTAGTGTCTGACGAGCTTCTGCCCATTCTGTGTTCTGACGAAGATAAACGGTGACAAGCTAGTGAAACAACAACGGCAGAAACGGCATGCCCCGTTTAAATCAAATCTAAAATGTGAAAGTTTTAAGCCTCGTTGTAAACGTTTTGCTTGCAAATTGTTTATTAAAGTTCGTACAAAGTTTGGAAACGTGCCGAGGGAAGCGTAAATAAAAAAGTCAAAGTCGAACTCGGATTAGGACTTTGAATAAATTGCCGTTTCGACAAGCACCACCAGCTACTTTTTACTACTAGTTTCATCATTTATAATAAACAGCTTGGGGTTGTCACAAAGTCCGCAATAACTGCAAGCTGCATTATAATTTACTCCATGACTATCTTGGAAAATATTTTTCGCACGTTATATTTGTCAAATGAACGTCAGTCACAGTCTTCCATGTACCGAGGCTATTGCCGACATAAGTGGAAAGCTTCAGAAGCAAAGAAATTCCTTAAATAATAAAAATATATTCCACATACGGTAGAAGGAACGATTGCGTTACTGGACATGAAAAGGATGTCACTCAAGTGATCCGTTTGAATAACAGAGGATGTGCTTGGTACACTTTGGAGGTGTAAAACTGGGAAAATGCATCCCTTGTGGATCACAGCAACTCAACAACGAAATTACTTCAATGTCAAGAAATAATAGTTATTTACATAAAAGTCAGGAAAATGACACAAAGGGTAGTTTATACGGGAGAGTAAATTGTGAAGTACTTTTGAGAGTAACTTGCGCTAGCTAACAAACACTAGGTCGCGATGCTGCCCCTAGCTGAACTTCGCCCTTTGGATTTACATCCAATAGACATTATTATAGCGTTTATATACAGCGTGTTGCATCGACAGGCGGGACCCCATGTAAATTTAAAGGAGGTTAAATATTGGGTTCCCTAATTATTTTATAGCAAAAATCTATTTAGGTTATTTTAGACCGGGAGGCAGCGTAGATAGTAACTAAACCATAACCGACAAAATATTCGACAATTCAGGCTGAAAGTACGTTGAAAACTAGTAATAAAATCACTCGTCTGCCAGTCGTAAGTGGCAGCATTAACTTGGGGCGGCGCTGAATCAGTGACTTCTTTAGGTGATCAACTAAAAGTTTTTTATATATTGTGCACCAAAATTTTACAATCTACTCCCGGTTGAAGTGACCTCCCAAGAAACACACGTTTTTTTTTTCTAAAAAAATTAAAACCATAGCTCTTTACCTTAGAAAACTGAAATTTTATTTAAATAAATTAAACTATTTTCGTCTTCAAATATCATCATTGATGTTATTAATTTTCTGCAGTACTTTATCCGGCAAGAAGCACACAGAAGATTGTTTTTAATAGGCACATTTTTTTTTCTTTAAGTACAAGTTTTTTTAAATTGCTATTGCATAAAGTATACCTTCTAATATGGGGTACTGTCCACCATCACTACCTTCCATATAATTTCTGAGGGTAACCTCCATACGACAATATTAAGGAGGTACCTATCCATAGCGCACTTTAAGTCTAATTTTATTTTATTGTATTGTAACAAAAAATTCTTGTCAATTTGAATGTATTAATTTTATTTCTTTCTTTCTGTTTTTTTGTGCTTTGGAAAATAAACTTTCTTTCTTTCATTGCTGAATGTCTATAATAAATCCTGTCATCAGCGACAGATTGACATTAATCAAAAGTTCTATATGAAAATTAAACTTTATATATTAAAATACGATTTCTGGTAAAAATTTAATACAAAACTCGTCAGTAAAACTTGACTCGGAAGTTAATATTTCCTCGCCCGTAAAGCGTAATTTACCCAATAGCTGTCATAATGTAAACAGTGATTAAGAGTTGTCTCCCAGCAAGTCAAAATCTTGCCGGCAAGTACTTGCTACAATAAAATCTTGCACGTCCAAACAAGTTTTGACAGGAAGTTGACATTTATTTCGATCTAGATGAAAGTTGACGTGCTGTGCTACATAGAGGGAGAACGTGTCACATGTCTTCTTTAATTATCCTTTTCGAAGAATTTCCGGAGTTGTGGCAAATCAAATCAAAAATCTACAGGGACAGACTCAAGAAACAAAACGCATTAAAATTTATAACTGAAAAGTGTCTGAGAGTACTTGCTGAGAGAAATTGCTATTTACAATTTGCCTATACAGGGTGTTGCATCGACAGGTGGGACAAGAAAATCCCATGTAAATTTGAAGGTGGTTAACTATTGGCCTCCCTAATTATTTTAGAGAGAAAACCTATTTAGGTTATTTGAATCTAAAAGAATAACGTTCGATGTTTTTGATTAACGCCTTAACGATATATTGCCAAAAATATTTTGTAAATTGTGGTATTATCAAGGAAATAGTTTTCGACCAGTATCAGACATTACAAAATATTTTTGGCAATTTCTCGTTAAGGGGTTAATCAAAAACATCGAATGTTATTCTTTTAAATGCGTCTTTTAATGCTCAAATAGACCGGGAGGCAGCGAGGCGGGATTTACTATACCTAATTTTTTTAACTGCTAAGGCGTCTCCCACTAATAAGTGCTGCCAGGATATATTCATTTTAAAGTAGTGACTAAAAGAGTAATTTTTTTATGTATAATTTTTATACGGTCCTCATGGTTTAGTTCAGGGGTATTTTTCCCTATATTGAAGGGCGTCTGTCGCCACCAACACTGCACTTGAAATCGTCTGCCATAGCATATGGGAAAATTGGGATTTCTGGATATAAATCTTTTCTGTGACCCTTATAGTTTAGTAATTTATTTTTTTGAATGAGAAGGCTAAGCCGTTCTTTAACCGGATAGATAAAGTGATCACTTTAACCGTAAGGGTAGATAAAGTGAAACAAATGATTGTACATTCTGATGACATCTGTCATTCTTATTTCAAATGCACGTTATAAAATGACGTTCAGAACATATGACAATTCTGTTTCTATAGAAACGATCGCGACGGCACTTAAGCTTACTATTTTTGACGTCCCAATGGTTAAAAAATCCATTTATCGTCTTATATAATAATAAATATCTATTTATATGCTTCTAAGTTTAGAATAGGTATTCCTAAACGGTTACGAGATTTAAGCCTACTCGAATATACTCTAGCACTACCTTTTAAAAGTTCTCAAAACACGATAAGCAATATCTTAGAGGCAATACTTGTAAATTATAAAATAGGGGAAATGCATGCTCTCTAATTTTTGCACCTACTAGAATCTTATTAATTTTTTTTTGAGTTATAAAGACCGAAGAAATCATGAAATAATACGTCCCTCCCCGCAACACATTCCATATTGTAATTTTCAGTGAACTATAGAGTAACAAAGAGCCTTAAGGGCAAAGAGCGGACATAATATGTCTTAAATAATAACATTTCCTAAATGCAGAGTACATGTAGCGTTTTAAATTGGCAGTATGTGGTTTCCAGGAACAATTTTCATCAACTAACACGCCAAGATATTTAATTTGAGGAACTCGATCAATTTTTATGCATCCAACCCTGTGGAACTCCGCATGTAATTGTGGCTGGTACACTAGTGAGATTGTGAATACGTACATATTGAGTTCGATTCATGAAACCAGTTCCACGCCACCCCTCCTATTCTTGCTTTCCATAAATGTTCCATTAGTATCTTGTCATCTACTGAATCAAACGCTTTGGTGATATCGATAACAATTCCTGATACGAACAAATTGTCATTGAACCCTTCAAATAAACCGCTGCAAAAGTTGATGAAAGCATCTTCTGCAGATTTGTCAGGGACAAACCCAAACTGGTTATTGGACAATGGACAATATGCTATGCTTCCTGAAAACTGCTTTTTTCAGACAATCGGGGAATATGCCATATTTTCAAAACTTAAGTTTATTAGGACAGTTAACACAGGAGAAATATTTTCACCAACCTATGTTTCAAATTAAGATAAAGTAGAGTGGTATGAATTTCACGAAAAGGAAAGGAATTTATGATGTCCATAAGAAGATGAATGAGAAACATTAAAAATTGGTAAGGCCTAAGCAAGACGAAGCCAGCGGATGTGAACGAAAAAAGGACGTGATTGTCACTAACAAAGTGAATGTAAAAAAATATAGTTGGATTAAAGAAAACCCCTGATGCTGACTACAACACTAACGAACAATAATTAAAGCCCGTTGAGATTAATTCACGCAAACAACAAAGAAATGACACTTTGGAAAAATCAAAAACGAATGCTGAAGTACCTATTATAATAAACAAAATTGATATCAAATATTCAAATGTGACATACTGTTCAACTTTTACACAACTAGTTCTTTTAATTCCGACGTTATTTTTGAAAATGAAGTGAATTTAGCACAAATTTGCAGTATATATAACGATTACACAGAAGTACACATTGACTGGTTTCGGAAGAGCTGACAAGATACAAGTAAAGCATCCCAAGATTTAAAGTGGAGGACACCAAACAATAACAAAACTATGAATAAAATTATCGTTATGATATGTGGAACGCTCGCATGCTAAGAATGAGAAAGTTTTGTTTAATTGTCGCTCAGTTTACGCAATTCTGTTACAGATACGAATTCATTAAAATTTCAAGTTCACGATTGGAATTCTCTCTAATTCCTATTAATAATAATTAGTTGATATGCATTAGGAACGAAAGTAAATGTAGGTGTTGTACAGTATAAATACGCGCAAGTTTGGGGCAGTGATCAGTTCAGTCCGGTGCCTCACAGATACCTACCAAATATGTTCTTTGTAAGTGTGCCTTATCAGAATTGTAGGAGTAATTACTTTGATTTTAGAAGCTTGCTTTGATTGCGTGTGCTTTTGTGGCGTCGTATGCCCAACACCACCATGGAGCGTCGTCTTACGCTTCGCTCAATTTGGGTTATGGTCATCACGTTGCGCACGCCGCTCCAGTTGCTTATCACCATGCGGCTCCTCTGATCCACCACGCTGCTCCCATCGTCCACCATGCTGCTCCTCTTGTTGCTCACGGACATGCTGCGCACCACGTCGACTATCACGTAAGTCCCTCCCTAGGCCTCTTCAAAATACTGACGGCAGGTCTTATAGGCACACCCGAAATACGAATTCAACTATGGCGTATCCGACGCTCACACACACGATATCCACAGCCAACACGAAGTACGTGACGGAGACGCGGTCCATGGAGAATACTCCCTTCACGAAGCCGATGGTACCGTCCGTACCGTAAAGTACACAGCCGATGACAAGAACGGTTTCAACGCAGTCGTTGAGCGATCTGGACACGCTGTTCATCCTGAAACCCATGCCAAAATTGCGCTTGTAGGTCACCATGGTGCTCATCATCACTATTAAAGCACCATAAACTAAATTAATGTTGTTACCATTGTTATTCTTCATTAAATTTCATCAATAAATGTGTACATACTTCCGTAAACTTACTCTTACTCTTTGCGCTTGGGCACACCTCCCACAGATATCATCTTACCATGTGACAACTATTTCGATTAAAACAGCAAAGATTAATGTTCATTGAAAATCAAAACTATGGTTCCAATGGTTTGGTTGTCATATATTTCAATAAATAAGCTACTTCAAACCAAAATTCGAAACCTTTCGTGAGTTATCATGTACACAGACGGACTGACGGAAAATCATGGACGATCTGGACGCGTTTCACTAACTATAACCGGACAATTAGTTACTTCCTAACATTTCCAACGAATGAGCTTTCCGAACGGACTTTAATGATTTTCGACACGTGTGATTCAGTTTGAAACTGGCGGAAGAGACGGATTGGTCTCATTTATAGACATATTGAATTTTAGAATTTTAGAAGCTATTTTAAATTCTGTAGTACAATCACAAGTTTAACAATAGGATCATAAATTAGCACAAGCTGTAACTATGTTGAATTTTAGTTTGTCCAAATTTACTTTAACAATCGATTCGAGTAGTACACACAATTACTCATTTGCAAAATTTCTAAAAGGAAAAGAACAACATTGACACACACATTCAAATGAGACGAACCAATTCTGTGCTTATTTCGTAAATAATCCCGCAGATTTACTTAATAAATTAAAATATTGTCATACACAGGATGTCCTGTAATTATTTTTGGTGAAGAAATAACGTAAATATGACAACATGTGTGGAAGGACTTTCCTCTGGATGAGGATCAGAAAGCTGTAATGTAACCATGATTTAGAAATCTTGAAGACGAATTTTCAGTCATACTTTTTTACAGGAGATGTCGTCATCTTATCTAGTTGGGATTGGATTCATAATCTTTCATAGGACTCAAAGGACTGTCGCTGGAAGAAGACACCTCACTAACATGTACTAAAATTTCGGATGAATTCCTTGTAACAGAAGACGAAGTAATACTGACTTTGTTGTAAGATCTGAATATAAAATGAAGTTTCAACCAGAAAAAAGAGCTGAGAGTCAACGTTGTTTCTAAATGTTCAGTTTGCAGTTAAAGTTATAAATTGTTTTAACGTATTTTTATTTCAATTTACGCCAACCACCATTTAAGGAGGTCAAATTTGACCGAATTCTCTTGCAATCCACCTACGTAGATAGCAAAACATAAAGCGTTTTGGAAATACATCAATAGCCTTTGTTCAGCGAAAACACTTATGTAAGCTTCCGTTATACGTAATCGGATCAGCGAAAAACTCTATTTTATGGAATTACGTAATCGAAGCCAAACCGCTCGACAGGATAATAAACGGAAGACCTTTCACGCCAGTTTACACTACACTCCACTTTCGGCAACAAAAACTAAAACCGTACATGCTATACGTCTAATTTCGTGAAGCACGTCGCTCTTTAACCGCGTAACGGGAAATCAATGCCCCTTCATAACACTGCGATCACTTCAAATCCGCCCTACTATATCAATACAAACCCAAAAAAGCAAACATCAATTAAAATAAGCGCGCCTACGCCGTAAAACCCAAATTAAATCAAAAAAACAAAATAAAAAACGTAATTAAATGGTACAGAGGCAAAACAAAGTAGAGCTTTGGTCCTTTTGTACTAAATAAATTAGCAGTAAAAATTTCTTCCCCCGCAATTTTTATAGCTTTCAAGAGTTCTGGATGAAAGCAAAAGTTTCTGGGATCATAGTTCTCCGTTTCTGAGCTAATTTCTTAACAAAGTTTCCCCCCTTTTTTTCCTTTTAAAATTTGTTCATTCCGTTTCTCGTTTCGATGTCCTTTTAGTGGGATTAGGTTAAATTTAATTAACTCGCATGAAAAACAACTTCGCTCGATGTGATAAATCACGAAATTTACTGATTAAAGTTGGTGCCGTTAGATAATGAGTGTGTTAATTTATTTTGTTATCGAGCTCTGTATACTGTTACGGTGGCGTTGCTCGCTTAAATTCTATTGTCGCTGTCTGCCGAAGTGTTTCTTAATGTGGTTACACTTTATTAAAGGGTAAATGTTTAATTAAAAGGGCAGAATTAGTTTCCAATGTGAGGGGTTCGAGGAAAGAGTGAATATTAGAAATACGGTGCGATCAATACAGTACATTAATTATACTAAGGGCAAATCTTTCCAACTCTCCATAAATTTATTTGTCAAATAAGTAACCGGCGCCATAAGGTCAATAAAACTCTTTCTTCTCCACAGTTGGTTCGCGATCATCATAAAAATTGTCCTGTCACGGGCGCCAAAAATATTGACCACGTAAAAGGCTACACGTCGTGAACCCAGTGAGCAAGTCCGGAGCAATGGTCGCGAAATGAAACTTGAGGGTCTACAACTCCCTTATTATTGCACTATTGACACATTAATCGAAAAAATAATCTGCTTGACAACCCACAAAAAGCAAACTCTGTCATATAAGAGTAAAGACCGATTTTTTCTTGCTCCGGTTTACATAAGAAATTCGATTACTTCCTGAGTGTGGCGTTTTTATTTGACCACCCCGTACATTTTGCTCACTAGTGTATAAGTTACGAACCGTTGTAAAAGCCACTGAATATTACCGATAGTTTATTGTGTGTATTTCATTACCACCGTAATAACTTGTACTAATATAAAGCTCAGTGAGTAAACTGTACTATCGGTTACGTTGAAAATAGATTATTTTTACTATACTACGAGTAATATAGCACGATTTGAAATAATCCCCAAGCGGTAATATCATTCACGTCTATAAAAAGGAAAATAAAAGCGAATGAATACAGCGCGAAGCCCTTGTAATTAATTAATGCACAATCTCAAAGAACGCCACGTATGTATAGGCATATACCATGATCTTTGATCCACACTTTCAGCATCCACTAATCATATTGAAGTAAATAAAGGAGCGTTCCAATGGGAATAGATGAAAACAGCTCGAATGGCGACAAAGAAAGCATGAAATTTTCATGAGGTGCTCTACAAATTTTGACAGGCATATATTCTAACATTTGACCCTACGCTACTACATTCAATAGCGATCAGCTTTCGCGAAAACGTCTTCGCGTAGTGCAAAACGCCCCCAATTTCGTTGTAATTGAAATACCTCGCGCCATTCCATTAAAATTGAGTTGCGTTAACGACGCAAAGGTGATAGTTTCATTTCTCGAGTGGGGAAATCTTTCATAATACGAATAGGAGACCTTTTTCCTTTGTTAAGGTTAAGAACTAAATCGAAAAGGGAATCGACAAATCGAATACCTCCATTCTGTAATATAGTGTGGGTGGATCGAAATCCACCCTTATTTTCATCGGTCGGAAGCCACTTTTAATATAATTTTATACAATTGTTTTGGATGTAATAGGATCCATCCGCAACATCATTATTTTTGCTCAATCTACCGTAAAATAATGATCGAGATTGGTTTTACTTGATGGTTACGTAACATTGACTATATGCATTTGGGATTTACCTTAATCTGACATCACATCGGAGGGCTTACCTGTAACAAAAAGAAAATTGATTAGTGATATGGAATAATTCTAATTGTACATTAATTTAGTTTTAGCTGTGAAACTGGTACCAGATTGTGCAGCAAAAGAAGCATCAATCAATAGCACCGAAGGAATCCAATTATACAATGATCTGAAAAACTTCTTCAAGGATAAGATCCACCTAACATGGCAAGAACACTGGTCCAGAATCCCGTCTAAGCTATACGAGATACGGAAATCTGTCAAGCCTTTTCACCTCCCTCCATTAACAAGAAGAGATAAAATAATCATCCGAAGACTTCGAATTGGACACACAAATCTCACACACAGACACTTGATGAATTCAGAACCTCCACCTATATGTCATCACTGCAACAGCGCTTTATCCGTCAAACACCTTCTAATGGAATGTCAGCTTCACTCACACACGAGAAGTCAGCTTGGTCTCTCAAACACCCTGGATGAAGCCCTCAACTCACCGAACCAGATAAACAAAGTTCTCAGATATCTAAATAACACCAATTACAGCTCCAAAATATGAACCCTTGCTTCACAAATATAATGTAATATACCATTAGCCTACAAACTTATACACAACTGTATCTGTGTCAATGGCCTCTGATATGCTGAGACACATTAATCTCAATTAAAAAAAAAAAAAAAAAAAAAAAAAAAACTAAAAAGCATAGTAACGGAAAATGATTGCCCATAACAAGTCTCTGGATTGCCCAAATTATTGCCTTCTTTAGGTACTGTATAGTAGACTTGTGATATTTCATTATGAAATATGCTTTTAAATGTGTTCATACTGCACAAGAAGTCTTAGGCTCCAGAGAGTCGTAGATAAAGAAGTAATCTTATCTGGATAGGGTTTAGTTGCAGAAAAATCTGACAAAAAAAGTACGCAAGCAAGAGTTTATCTTACCCATTAAAAAAGATACAAATCAACAAAAATCAAAGCATGATTAATTATATAATACGGACCAACACTCATTCATTTCGCGGGGAAAGACAATACAATTCCTTCTTGAGAAAGGATGGTGGACGTAATTATTAAACGTTATGTAAAAAAAGGTAAATAGAGATGTAATAGGCTGGAAAGTTTTCTAGACGAATTCAGTCTAAAAGTTCCAAGGGGAGTCGACCTTAAATGGCGGCAAAAAAAGTTCGTTGTCAATGTAAGGGGAGTGTTCCTGTCTTTTTAAAGCATTATCAACATTAGCTTCGAGGGCATTCTGTTTACGAGGTACAGTAGTGTGCATGTATTTAATTCAAATTAACGGTTTTATATCTTTAAAGCAAATTTTTGTACTTAGTTTTGAAACTCATTGACGTTTAAAGATTATTAAAGAAAATCTAAATCTATGAATATTCTTAAAGATATGAACCTCTAGAAAAAAAATGAAAGCAGTTTTTTATTGCATATGTGTCCTTATGATTATGATCATATCAGTTTTTTCGTCAATATATTTATGCATGTGTATATAATTGTGTAACACATTTAACAAAAACATTTATGTCT